CCGACCGCAACATTAAGCTAGCCAAGACCAACAACACAAACAAACAGACTATACAGCTACAGTACAAGTAGTGAGTGGAGTTACAAACAGACTATACTTAACAAGTTAACTGTCTTACCTGTGATTAAATGTTTTCCACGCACATAGCTATGTGTAGCATACTTGGACACCGGCTCCCCACATTTCCCACGCCAAATAGCCTGAAGCCACAGGGCTCTACTCGCAGGATCTATTTCCCTACGTGGGAGCATTGCGAACTGTAGGTTGGGATTTTTTACCTGGTTACATGTACATTGAACAACACAGCAGCTTTTCGGCATGTTTTGTTATTTCTGTATAACTAAAAATCAACGACGAAGTTGGCTCTTTTACAATGGGGGTCAATGGGAAAGAATGTTTGTTTTCCCCAATTTGTGGGCGTGGAATTCCTTATTATTATGTGAATATTGACTCAGAGTATACTCACGGATCAAATATGTATTTCAAGTTGCAGCGAAGAGGTACTTGCATTTTCAGTTAACAAACAACTATGTGATTCACACCTTATTTTAATTTATCAGATTGCAAGTTAAACATATTCAGTTCACGTCACTGATACATGAACATATCTTCCATATGTTTTGCATATCCTGTCCTATAGTCTGAAAAATTACTTGTTTCCGCAAGGCTCCGTGTCCAACCTATTGTAAATGGATAGCAGTATAGGTTGAGAGATCTGCTGCGAAATCAAAGTGTCTGTTGTGAAATATTGTCAACTGTTTACTGCGGCAGAAATCCCTTTTAGCCATGGACTAAGAGTGATTGAAAATGCCATAGATGTGATACATGTGTAACATGTAACATATCACATATAACACTACACAAAGCCACTGCACCTGTAAAGTACACTGTATGCTCAGAAAGCCCCCTAACCCTTAGGCTTTCAAGTTGAGTTAAGATAAAAGCATGACGTTGTCTTGTATAGAATTATTACCTTGAATTGCAGAGTTCTATATGTCAACGATAGCCTAGAATTTGAAAGAGTGTTTTCAGTCTATAAATATTAAGTGTTGAATGATTTTAATATTTTATGCATCTCCTTAAGGAAAATTTACTGAAAATGAAGATGTACCGTAACACTTAAATGCAGTCTCAAATAGCCGCCTGTCCCTTTTAATAGCCGGGCAACGGCACACATTTCAGCAAGTAAACGCCTGTTTCAAATGAACGCCGGGTCTAAATGAATTGTTTAAGGTTACCATGAATTACCATGAATTGTTTACGAGGTTTAATGTTTGATTTGTTACATTAAATAATTCAGTAATGACTCCAACAAATTATGGCAATCATCCATTTTTATCGCCAGTAAGAAACTGCTAGCCGTTGGCTGCTAACAGATGAGTACTGCTAGCTAACTGGCAAGCACAAAAACAGTCAACAACATCGGGAGTACAGACCCCCAGAGATTGGCAGATCAACCGCTAGTGGCAAAAGTAAGAACTAACGAAAATGCACAGTCAAAGGATAATAATCATTCTGTCAAGGAAAAGTTTTATTTTTATTTTTAAATAGAGGCATTCTAAGACAAAAGAAGCGTGACAGTGTGTAAATGATAAGACAATAGTGCAGGAAATGAATAAATTGAACAAAATGCGCCTGTTGTGTTCAGTGATGTAAGCTAGATGCTCTGCTACCCGACCCGAGCCCGAGGGCCCTGACATTATACGTTGGGTTAGTGCCGGGTAGGGCCTGTTTTTTCATCAATAACTAGGGTAAGGGTAGGGCTCGGGTATCACTAAATTGATCATTAACATTTTGAAGCTGAGCCATTTGCTTGTGCTCTGCTGCACAGTACATATCATGGTGTCAGAAGTGCTTCAACCTCGTCAAATATAAGACAAGAACATTGTTCGAGTCTACAGGCGAGATTATTTTCCTGAAAATAATCATGTTCCTTGAGTTTTGTCGGAGTTTAGAGTGACGAAAAGTAGCTAGTGTACAGCTAACTGCTCTATGTCTCGTTATTGAGCAGGACAACAAGCAGAGGCATTGCTATGGATATGCGCACAAGCAGAGTGCATGCACTGAGTGCATGCAGCAGCGCAGGGAGCGAGGGACAGAAAGACGAGCAGCTAATGGATACTAACGGAGGAAGTTATTTCTGATTTCGGGTTCAGGTAAGGCCTGAAATTTGCCAGAAGCAAACGGGCCTGGGTAGGGCCTGGGCTTAAAATGCCCATAAAAAATGTAAGCCCGTGCAGGGCTCTAATGTAGGAAAATAAACGCCTGGGCTATTAATTGAAGTTTTACAGTACATAGTTTTTTTGACTGCAAACTGTTCATCTGACCAGATTTGAAAAGTGGATAGCCATTCATATTTTTGTTTAAATAGGGTATAGTGCATTATATGAATGATGTATTTGTAGAGATATGAATTTGTTCAATGAAGCTGCAATGACCATTTTGGATGATCTATTAAGTTTCTTTATGTCTGTATGTTTTTTAATTTGGTGTCCCTCAAAAAACAATCGTCATCTCCATTTCAGTACATTCACATGCACAACCTAAATAAATAGATTGATAGATTTCTGTCAAATGTTGGAAATTAATTAGCATTCATCTTCATATTTGGAGACACTGACCTATTCATTGTCTGTGTTTGTCAGCACTTGAACATACTTGCAATAAAAACAGAGGGCTCATGAGATAGTAGAAGGTACTGTATGATAGAATTGTGAAATAAAAAAATAGTAGTGAATATAACTGCAGTATTTGTCAAGCGTGATCCGTGAGTGTCTTTTAGATGTACGATATACTGTATATACATGTGTAAGCATTTTTTGTATCACAATACAATTGTACAGTCTGCTTGTAATATTTACAGGTAAAAAGCATGTATTTTAAACTTTTTGTAAATCAACAAAACTTATGTACATATATACATACAATTCAATAAATATTCCATTCCCAGTGGGCAAAACTGGTTGAAATTATGTATTTTTTTACATTAAAACTGGTTGAAAATACATCATTTTAATCAGTTTGCCTGCTGATTTTCAGTTAATCTGTAGTAGCATGCAAGATAGTTGGTTTTAGTGTGTATATACTACAGTACTGTATGTCAAATCTTTATGAAGGGAAACACTTGAAAATCACAAGATATTGGATTGTGTCTCTAAAAGGGAAAACTCTTCAATGCATTTTTGTGCCTTTTCTATCAATGTATGTAATCTAGACAATCTTTAAAAGCCTGTGTATAACCAAAACAACATTAAATTGTTTGGGGAAACAATTTTGTCCCTCGTTTCATTCTTTATGAAGTTATCTTAGGTATGTATGTTTTCCCAGTTTTGTCCCCATTTACATCATGTGACGCGAGCCATACAGTGCTTTCGGAAAGTATTCAGAGCCCTTGACTTTTCCCCAAAAAAATTACGTTAAAGCCTTTTTCTAAAATGGATTAAATAGTTTTTTTTCCCCTCATCAATCACTACAAAATACCCCATAATGACAAAGCAAAATCAGGTTTTTAGACATTTTAGAAAATGTTTATAAAAAAAAGAAATATCAAATTTACATAAGTATTCAGACCTTTTACTCAGTACTTTGTTGAAGTACCTTTGGCAACGATTACAGCCCCGAGTCTTCTTGGGTATGACGCTACGAGCTTGGTAAACCTGCATTTGGGGAGTTTCTCCCATTCTTCTCTGCAGATCCTCTCAAGCTCTGTCAGGTCTCTCCAGAGATGTTCGATCGGGTTCAAGTCCGGGCTCTGGCTTGGCCACTCAAGGACATTCAGAGACTTGTCCCAAAGCCACTCCTGCGTTGTCTTGGCTGTGTGCTTAGGGTCGTTGTCCTGTTGGAAGGTGAACCTTTGCCCCAGTCTGAGGTCCTGAGCGCTCTGGAGTAGGTTTTCATCAAGGATCTCTCTGTACTTTGCTCCGTTAATCTTTCCTTTGATCCTGACTAGTCTCCCAGTCCCTGCCGCTGAAAAACATATCCACAGAATGAGGCTGCCACAACCATGCTTCACCGTAGGGATGGTTCCAGGTTTCCTCCAGACGTGACGCTTGGCATTCAGGCCAAAGAGTTCAATCTTGGTTTCATCAGACCAGAGAATCTTGTTTCTCATGGTATCAGTCCTTTAGGTGCCTTTTGGCAAACTCCAAGCGGGCTGCTTTTTACTGAGGAGTGGCTTCCGTCTGGCCACTACTATGCTGCAGAGTCCTTCTGGAAGGTTCTCCCATCTCCACAGAGGAACTCTGGAGCTCTGTCAAAGTGACCATTGGGTTCTTGGTCACCTCTCTGACCAAGGCCCTTCTCCCCCGATTGCACAGTTTGTCCGGGCGTCAAGCTCTAGGAAGAGTCTTGGTGGTTCCCAGCTTCTTCCATTTAAGAATGATGGAGGCCACTGTGTTCTTGGGGACCTTCAATGCTGCAGATAGTTTTTGGCACCCTTCCCCAGATCTATGCCTCGACACAATCCTGTCTCTGAGCTCTACGGACAATTTCTTCGACCTCATGGCTTGGTTTTTGCTCTGACATGCACTGTCAACTGTGGGACCTTATATAGACAGTTGTGTGCCTTTCCAAATCATGTCCAATCAATTGAATTTACCACAGGTGAACTCCAATCAAGTTGTAGAAACATCTCAAGGATGATCAATGGAAACAAGATGCACCTGAGCTCAATTTAGAGTCTCATAACAAAGGGTCTGAATACTTATGTAAGGTATTTCTGTTTTTTATTTTTAATACATTTGCTAAAACCAGTTTTCGCTTTGTCATTATGGGGTATTGTGTGTAGATTGATGAGGAAAAATAAATAATTGAATCTTTTTTAGAATAAGGCTGTAACGTAAAAAAATGTGGAAAAAGTCAAGGGGTCTGAATACTTTCCGAATGCACTGTATCTTCCAAAATACCTATGGTTATATATTTTTTGCCTTGACCATATTTCCAGCATGCCTCTTGTTCCAAGTGCAAAAGTAATTATTTAATTGCATCTTTTGTAGGTGATCATGTCTCCAACTGAGCACAATGGCCTATCTCAGCCCTGTCCAGACTTCAGGACCAAGGGCCAGATGAACGAGAAGGAGCATTTCCACATCCTTCCCCAGCTCCAGGTCAAGAGGGCCGACTTCCTCACCGTCATGCTGACTGGCACCCTTCCTCAGCGGCGAACCTTCGCAGTGGCTCTGCCGGCAGAGAACGAGGTCCAGGAGCCCCAGGGCCCGCGGGACGATGATGTGACCAAGAGTGAGTCAAACAGTGAGGCCAGCCAAAAAAGCACAGAGCGGAGCCAGGATGGAGCCCCTGATACCCTCATGGCCGAGGACGGTCCCAGGGGCCCCCGGGAACCCGCCTCTGCCGCAGATGCCGACCCTGACTTGGAGGACGGCTCCAAGACCCTGGTTCTGTTCTCACCGGGGGATACCCGGAAGTCTCCATCCACTGGGGGGGAACACGCCCTGCTGGAGGTTGACTTTGGGACGCCGTCTGCCTCTACCCCTAGGAACGATATGCCTCTGGTGGGTGCGGGCAGCCAGCCAGAGCTCTCCTTCACACTGAGGTCGGACTTGAGGCCATCCACTCCTATCGCCCCCGCGTCTCCCCCCTTCACCAAAGTCGAGCGCACCTTTGTCCACATTGCAGAGACTTCCCACTTTAATGTCATGTCTTCCAGAGGTCATACCGCAAAGGAGAGCAGCAACCGCTGCGACCTCTCGGACGTTACCCAGGAGGCCTCACCATGGAAAGGAGACACCCGTGACCAGACCGGACATGTCGAACAGGGTAAGCAATCCCAGAGTCCTTCCAGAGAGCCCCAAGCCCATTCTATCCCAGACATGACCTGGGAGAATGGTTTCACGCGCACCAAACCGGACGACCGCCCACCGCTGGTCTTCGTCAAGTCCTTGGAGCCTGTCCCGGAAGCCATGTCGCCCATTCTGGAACACAAAACTCTCTCTGCAGATCCCAACAAGGGGCCATTGTCTACCGAACGTGTTGCCGAGTCCAACGCTGAACTACCGCATACTGCCCTCAGGCCGAGGATCAAAAGCCGCATCCCGGTTCTACTGTCTGAAGAGGACACAGGCTCGGAGCGTTCAGCCTCACTCTCTGCCCGGGCACGACTACGGAAGAGAGCCCGGCAACTGGACCTGGCACGCATGGTGGTGCAGAAGCAGCAGGGCCGCTGGATGAGGCTGCCCTCTGGGGACATCCTCCTCGCTGTCCTCCGGCGACGGGAGGGCCTCCGAGACGCTCTCCACCACCGGCTCGGAGGAAGACACCCACACCTCGGACGAGTCCCTGGCCAGGAGGAGCTCATGTCTGAAGGCCAGGGCAGGGGCTGGAGGGGACCAGGGCCAGACGGAGTGGCGCAGCAGGATCCCTAGGCCCGTCACCCCCATCAAGAGGCCCTCGGGGTGGCTGGTGGCCGCCATGCCCTCCCCTCTCACGCTGCTAGGATCGGGCATTTGTAGAGATGCATCCACCTTTGATAATGGGTAAGTAGTCTTCACAACATCATGTTTGCAAACATAACATTATAACATTGTATGGCTCATTGGTTATCGCAGTAATTGCAAAGACCCTTGATTATTTTAATATAATTTATGAAAACACTTCTTTGCGGTGCCAAATAACGAGAGTTTAGCCATTGCCATTTCTGTCAAAGACGGTCTGATTTCTGTAGTTTATAACCTAAACTTAATTTGATTGGTTGAAAGGTGTCATGTTACTTTAAAGTTTTGTTATGATTTTTGTGAAAACACTTGAAAATGATGACTTATCAAAGGTTTCCGGGGGGAAGGATGAACTCTTATTCCACCTATTCTCATTTCAGGCTCCAAGTTCAGAAAATAGGACTGAACACTCTCCCGACCCAGAGGCGGTCTCAACCTCTGCAGACCGGCTCCTCCTCTTCCATCTCCTGTCCGAGGCCCTGTCCTGTCCCCGCCCAGCCCTGCGGCAGCCCCCGCATGCCCCTGCGCTGCGTTTTCGTGACCCGACGCAGCCTAAGCACCTCCCACTGCAGGACAGACAGCCCCTCCCCCCAGCGTGTCCGTCCAACTAGACAGTCCCTCTCCGTCCGGCCCACAACTGCCCCTCCGCTCCGGCCCAGGGCTAATACTACTACTACCACTATGAAACGGGCCAATTCACAGGACCCCTTTACCCAGGCGTCCACCGCTATGCCTGCCAGAATCCGAGCCAAATCCACGGGCCCCGCCAAAACGAAACAAAGCACAGGGGACAAGATGGCTGCCGCGAGATAGTAAACAGATTCACTGGGAAGAAATGCGTACACTTCTCTGTTGTCCTCAGAGAGACTCAATGCCTCAAAAAGCTCCAGCCCGGCCCCAAATTAAGACTGACGCGGTTTCCCATCTTTTTTATCTTTGATCAAAATCATTAACCTCTACTATCATGAACCTCTACTAACTAGACCATGACAACAACTTTTACAAGAGGAACCATACTGAACAATCTTCATGAGCTTCCAGTCAAATAACTTTTAGTCAATGTCACGAGGAGCGATGCTATCGTGGTGCTATGTGTACGCTGTTCACTGGTGCATTGTATACATTTTCCTTTTGTTTCTGAGGTTGAACATTTCTTTAGGTTTGTGGATTTTGCATCCTATATGCAAGAAATTAATTTGAACAAACGTCTCACACCGATATACTAAGTTATCATCGACAATATGCTGCTTGCTTTACATTGCATGGTATAGATATCACAAACACTTTTGATAAGTTGAATAATGTTAAGGACATGTACGAAAGTCTCAATCTTCCAATGGTCTGACGCGATAACCAATTCTGATAGAATGCAAAGGCCAAAATCATTCCCAACTCTGGTCATATGTGTTAAAAGAGGAAGGTTGGATTATGGGGTAGATTACTGCCAATATTAAGTGGATGCAGAAGTAATATTGCTGGCCTTCTTGTTAGCGTGTGACAATGGGCATGCTTTATATCATTATATTTTTGGGGGTATTTGATTATATTTAGTGTATATAATATGATAATTTCTTGAAAAAGACATCTTTATTTTTTATCATATGAAAACAACCTGTATATTTTGTCTTTCCTCTTCTGTTGAACAATGTTGGCACATATGCCTGTTTTTTTACGCATGAGAAAAATGGGGTTAACTTTGAGCGATAGATACCTGTTCTGACAATGAAATGATAGATGGATCATTGAAACCCATGTTTTGTGTTTGTATTGGGTAAATGAAACCTACAGTTGCAGGTCACTGAACTAAAGTAAAATCATGGTAATGTGGAATGACTATCTCCTGTTTCATTTCTACACTGTTTGCCAGATATAACCATCGCCCCTAGAAAGGACTACTTCTTGTTTTCATCCTCTCCTTCTAACCAGGGACTGATTCACCAGGTGAACACCAGGTGACACCAGATGAGTGCAATAAAGTACCAGGTAGAAACAAAAAAAAGTTTTGGGGCCCTCCAGGACTGAACAGTCCTGGGCAACTGAATGGGTCTGGAAGGTTCCTTATCAGAGTGAATTGACTCAGAGACACATTTTTAAAGTGTTTTCACATATTTTGGTAATTTTATTTTCAAGAGGTAAAGTTACAGTACAGACGTGTACAAAAACGACATGCTATTGAATACCATACACAATCAAATTGTCAAAAATGTCACACAGACACACACACACATTTCACCTCACAGCAGTAAGTCCAGTCTCTCCCTAGTTTAGGGGCAGGCAGCTTCTCTAATTGTCTGTCTCCAATCAATATTATTTTCCATATCAGAATATTCCTGAGCAAGTACATAACCCACATTTGAATACTATTAATGCTATTAAATGTATCTTTGATCCATCCCAACAGGAAGCAATAGATAACAAAAAGAATACAAGTTATGCACATAAGAGTATGTTTCATTGCGGTGCATTGCAGTGTAGTACTGTGCTGAGACTAATGGTCTCTTGGAGTTGCACTTTCAATTCTGTTATATATGCACTGAAAGCTGAACCTATGAGACCTGAGAGATATCCAGTAGAAGGGAGGCCTCCCTTTCCCTTTCTCCCCGCCCCCACTTTTTCCATGCAAGCATGTGAGTTGGCACATGGTCTCTCCCTCCCTAACTCCCTGAGGTTACATTGACGTCTTGTAAAATGTTCAATAAAAATATTAAAATCCAAAATGAATATGATGTAAGACGTGGTAGAACATTGAGTATGTTTACATGCACACTAATCATTATATATGAAGCTGAGTATGGCAGTAGGCCGTGTATGACATTAGACATTGTGGGGTTCTATTTTCTTATAACTAGATGTGATGCCTAGCTTAGAAAGAATGCATTAATGATTAAACATAATAGGTTTGTACTGTACTGATATAAATTGTTTAACTTAACAAGCTGTGATTCATGTGAGGAGCTGTTAGGGAGTAGGGTGAGACAGACTTGTGATTCTCACAGACACATACACACTGCCTCTTTGTTAAACCGCGCTCAAGGACATGTGTACTGCAAAAGTGCTGACTTTCTGGATAAGTTGCAAAACAACTAGACACCTGGCAACAGTGAAGCGCCAAGGGGCTGGGACCAGCCTGTGCGCCAACGATAGGCTGAGTAAGTCTAAACCACGCTCAGACTCTACTCTGATTGGCCAGCATGGAGCGGGAACTATCTCTGTCAGAGTATTTGGAGAAGAACTTAGAACAATGGATCAGTTCTCTGTCTGCCCTGCGTGGTATTTCAGTGGACCCGTATATACGAACATCATATATACCATTGAAGTGGTTTGCATTAATTAAAATACTAGTCTATTTTAGAAGACGTGTATTGACCTCTTTTTGTTCCAATACCAGATTTGAATTGACGCAACTTAACAATTGGTGACCTCCGACTGTGATCTGGTAGAAGGGACTTCGCTGGGTATTGTCCGGCCCATTGGACATCTCTGTCATCAACGGTGTGTTTCACAAAGAGTCCAGACTACTAAAAACAGGTAAGCAGACACCTATTGTTATATAACTAAAGTTCTACACATTGGCTTTATCCAAATTAAATTTGTGAAACACCTGTCTGATGTAAGTGAACTAAATTATGAAATTATTATGAGTAGATAAGCACAATATTGTGACATGCAAACCTGTGGTGAATGTGATGTTAAACCATGGTACCATAGAGTATTTGTTCTACCGGCAAGGTCCGTAACTGCGGGGGTACGGCTAGGTTCGAAGAATTACACCGGCAAGGTCCGTAACTTCGAGGGTACGGCTAGGTTCGGGAAATTTTAGATAGTGTTGCGCTATCGGCAAGGTCCGTAACTAGTACGGCTAGGATCGTAGGAGCACTTTAAAGTACACTATAGTGTTGCGCTTCGGCAGGGAGCTGTACTTGGGGGTACCGCCCAGATCGGAGGAGCACTTTAAAGTATAGGGTGTCGTATGCATGAGAGTGTGAATGATCCCAGTGTAATACAAGAGTGTTTGCAGACGAAATAAAAGAGGGAATGCGGGTTACTAAAATTAATAAACCTGTATACCTTGATAGAAAACTAATTAGGAATTACATTTACATTTACATTTTAGTCATTTAGCAGACGCTCTTATCCAGAGCGACTTACAGGAGCAATTAGGGTTAAGTGCCTTGCTCAAGGGCACATTTACGTCATTTAGCAGACGCTCTTAAACAGAGCGACTCACAAATTGGTGCATTCACCCTATAGGCAGTGGGATAACCACTTTACAATTTTTTTTGGGGGGGGTAGAAGGATTACTTTATCCTATCCCAGGTATTCCTTAAAGAGGTGGGGTTTCAAATGTCTCCGGAAGGTGGTGAGTGACTCCGCTGTCCTGGCGTCGTGAGGGAGCTTGTTCCACCATTGGGGTGCCAGAGCAGCGAACAGTTTTGACTGGGCTGAGCGGGAACTATGCTTCCGCAGAGGAAGGGGAGCCAGCAGGCCAGAGGTGGATGAACGCAATGAACGCAATGCCCTTAAAGACGTCTGTGGCTGTCCAAACTGTATAATTTGTGAATAACTGTTGGGTTTGTGGTTGCTTAAACCGTATAACCCGTTAATAACAATTGGGAACATAAAGGTAAAATAATGAATAACTAGTATGACTAAACTGAAACGTTTGAACTGATATAACTGAACTGTAACGATTGATGTTTGACATAGCATAATACTGGTTTTAAATAATTATGTTGAAGCAATTTGGTTTAGTATTTGATTTAACGTTTGATGTTTAACATAGCATAATACTGGTTTTAAATAATTATGTTGAAGCAATTTGGTTTAGTATTTGATTTAACGTTTGATGTTTAACATAGCATAATACTGGTTATAAATAATTATGTTGAGGTAATTTGGTTTATTATTTGATTTAACATTTGATGTTTGACCCTGCAAAATACTGGTTAAATAATTAGACTGAAATAATTTGGTTTATCGTTGAAATATAAATATGTACCGACTAATAATTTGGGAATAATTTGATTTAAATAAATAGACTAACGTACTTTAAATAACGGCAGAATATTGGAAACGAAAAGCAGACAAAGCCTGTTCCCACTGGACACAGGAGGGGAGGGGCTGGAGACAGCGAGAGTGTGGCTTTTGGAGAGTCAGGAAGGACTAGGGGGTGATTTGTGTCGATTAAGAATTGGCTAAAAACACCACGAAGCGATTATTTGAGAGGTACCTATACATTTCTAACGATATATACGTATGAACTTGCTCACCCGAACGTAGACGTACGTAATGGGTGAGAAAGTAGAGAATATGAGTTTAAGGTTGTACCGTTGTTTGATCATGTGATAAGGTTTAATGGGTAATCGGACCATAACTAATGTGGGTATGGAAGTAATGTATAAACAGTGGAGAGCCAATAGGGGGCTCCATTGAACTATTATGTTTTGTTGGGCATTTCGGTGGCATGAGGTGAAGTCTGTGTGTATGAGTGAATTCAACGGCTGGTGTGGGTGGTGACTGGATACTATGGAGTGTTTGGTTTGGTGATGTTGAATGGACGATTTGTAGCGTGTTTTGGGGTTAAATAGAAAGACTCACTTATTCAATAGGGAATGGGTGAAGGGAGAGAGAGCATTACTTTGTGTTGCTGAATGAGGTGAAAGCTAGTGCAGTTTTCATTTGGTGACGTCACTTGCTCTATGAACTGGAAGTATTTACTTTGAAAGCATCGCGGAATGTGTGGGGTGACTGGCAATGTATGTAGAGGGTCCCTGGTTCGAACCCAGGTAGGGACAGTGGGTAAAGCTTTCGCA